GGGCCGCATGCGGGCCACCAAAGAATTTTGAGTGGCCCATGAGGATGTGGAATGATTTTAAGGCTTCTCTGCTGCTCAGTCTCCTCTGGAGGAGAGGGCCATGTATGGAAGGAGGAGGACAGGTGAATGCTTGCCCTGCTAGGCTTCTTCACTGCTCAGCTTTCTCTCAAGGAGAAGGACAGGCAAACATTTGGCCCTCAAGGCATCTCTGCTGCTAGGCTTTCTCCTGAGGAAAAGAAGGCCAGGTGGCAGAGGAGGACAGGTAAACACTTGCCTTGCAAGGGTCTGCTGCAGCCATCTTTTCTCCTGAGGAGAACACGAGGTGGTAGTGGTGGAGGAGGACAGGCAAACACTCACCCTGCAAGGCTCCTCCTCTGCCCAGATTTCTCCTGAGAAAGCCAGGCAGGGGACAAGAAAGAGAAGCAAATGCTTGCCCCTTAAGGCTCCTCTGTCACTTGGTCTTCTCCCAAGGAGAAGCCCAGGTGAAGGAGGAATACAGGCAAGGCTCTTTCACTACTTGGCTTTCTCCTGAAGAGAGGGCCAGGCAGAGAAAGAAAATGGGATTAATATTAATTCTAATTCATACTGTTAATTATTATTATTAATTAATTAGTATTTAATTAAAACCTATCTGCAGCCCGAAGAAGTTTAGCCTATTTTAATTTTGGCCCCTACCTACTGTCACGTTGTGCAGGTCTGCTGTAGATCATTAAGAAGCCATAAGTTATTTGTCATCATCTATTTCAAAGCTGCAGAATCTAATCACAGAACTGGATATATTTATCACAGATCTCAGCATATTTACCCAGCATACTTCACCATGTATTGATAAATTGTCAGGAAGGTAAATAAAGCATAAGAGAGAAAGAAAATCAGAATTGGGGTCTGGGTCTGGGTGTGGGTCTGAATTTGAGGCACTCTGAACTCAGAGTCATGTTGGCTGTCTGCAGATGTTAAAAGCAGATGGAAAATCACTTACCCTGTAACACTGAAGTAAATTATGGGGCCTTAAGAATGGTAGAGGTTAAGCTCTTGATCAGTCAAGTAACACTGGCATGTATTTTCCCTTGATATTCCTCAGTTTGAATTTTCAATCTTGTAAAGGGCAAGTGGACTGACAGCCCCAGAATCATGCATCTATTGATTTATAAAAGAGGCAGTATTGAGATGGTGGCAATTACTATCTCCCTCATGAGTTTGAAACAACAGCACACCATGGTAGCTCCATTTCCCTTTAAGCCTTTACCAACAACAACTTTTGATTTCACCTAGCATTTGATTTCCATTGCATTTTAAATAATTATCTGAATGAATGGGAGGGCTTAAGTTTTCCGAAAAAAAACATCTTTGTAAACATTTCTGAAAACATTGAGAGAATTGGCTTGTCTTTTTGTTGTTGTTGTTGTTGTTTAAAAAAAATCCTTAATTTTTTTCATAGTAATTTGAAAGGCTTCATATTTTGTATGTGTTCACTGCAGAAAAATGAATTATTTGACCCATGAAGAATGACTAAGATCTGAACCCAGTTCTTCCAATGGCCTACAGCAATACAAGTCACTTTCCATTTTTTGCAGATAAGTGAATACAAATCATAAAAATCTCTGGGTATTATCTTGCTGAAATTAAACACTGGAGATTGATTATATTCCTGGTTCCTTTGTAGTAAATCTGCTCGGCTCAATAGAGATCCACTGAGTTATGCACATGATCAATTTTCAAATCAACAGGAATTAAAAGTGGTTTAGTGGATCATGCTGACAGTATATGGGACAATGACTCAAATATCATTGCAAAATATGAGCTCACCAAAAACTTGAGATGATGTTTCAGTTTTCCTTTTGGTATTTTCATAAGCAGAAGAGTGAAGATGTGGAAAAAAGGGAGAGGAAGAAAGAAATTATTCTGCTAAAGTCAGCATATGTTCTCTTATTCTAGGAGGAGCCACCTGTCTATACATGAGCATGCCAGATTACCTGCTGATATAAATAAACTTAGCTTTGTTGACTCTGGTGGCACTCTGCCAGTGCAAAGCAGATACGCCTTCAGAAAACTGAACCAAGTTCATTTCAAGCACAACAAAGTAAAAACAAACACATGTAAGAATGGCATTTCTTTTAAAAGAAGTTGTGAAGGCATTTTATAAAAATGATTAGAACTAAATCAGTAAGGCAGCCCACACAGAAGGTTCAATACATCTTTTCTTCATGCACCCAGTCACTAATGCTGTAGAGAAAGGTCAGATGCTTCAACCTACATTGGCCTCTACTAGCCCATGCAAACTGATAATGACTGTTACTGCATGACCAGGCTGGGGAAACTGGATGGATGGGTTTCCACTTTGCCACTGTTCATAAAACATGTCACACTTCTAAAACTTTAAAATCTCCCTTTACCTCTTCTTGTAATTCTTCATTTTAGAATAGACTCCTCACACCTACACACAGGCACACACAACAAATTCCATAATAACACCACAAGCACAACTTTTTATTGCTTATAACAGGACACACAGGCATTTCAGAATCATATCCACTGTTGGCTGATGAGCTGAGGCCATGCATGCCTACACATACATTTGTTGTTGTTAATTGCCTTCAAAATCATCCCTGACTCATGACGACCCTGTTATGAGACATCTCCAAGACTCCTGATTCAGGACTTGATACAATTTGGTCCCCTTCCTTAAGTGAAAAATTAACTTACAATTGGAAACTGGTCAGAATTAGCTAAAGGAATATGGTTTCCTGGCAATTTGGTCACCATTTCTCTTCTAAAATACAGGTGTGATATCAACATACAGACTATTAATAAATCAACTGGAGTTTTGGAATACAGTGGGCCCTTCCTATTCATGTGGGTTAGGGCCTGGGCCATCCTATGGATGACTGAAAAACACAGCAGCTCAAACCCATATTTGTCAATGGTTGCCAACATGTGTCCGCCTGAGTCAGTGTGCCTATGGGCATACACCACCATTGGCTAATGTGGAGCAGGCCAATTCACGGGTGCTCCAATTCGCAGATCGCAGGCCCACTGTAGTCCTTATTGACACAATAATTTACAGCTGTAAATGGGATACATGAGCAGTATCGACTTGAAAATGTAAGTGGAAGATGTGTAAGATTATAATATTTGATTATATTGCTTTAACTAATTTTGAGGGGAAGGAGAATAAATGGTTATTTGTAAACACATTCAAAACTTAAATTAAAAAGAAAAAGAACAAGAACAAAAATGGGTACAGTATCATTTCAGCCAATAACCTTACCCTCTTTTGTAATAAATGGTAACAATTTGCTTCACCTCTATCTCCTCATCAAGGGTAATATATTTCAGAGTGTATTTTTTTAATTCACTTTGTAGTTGAAAGCAAATCATTCCTGCAAAGGACAAGAGAAGGTAAAATACCTGTCCTTCCTATATACTTTCCAACTGTTTCATCTACTGTCTGGAGATCTTCTAAAAGCCCTCCATGAATTGGAATAGGAATGTTTCATTTTCTACAATCTTCACATTTTTAAAAGTACATCTTTGTTCCATCCCACCAAGAACAGTATAGAGTTTTATTTATGTATTGGTACAATATCCACATAAACATTTTCACGTATTTTGCATGCATCTCTCCTAAGGTATACACTTTGTATGCAATTTCCCTTTACATGTGAATTTTTGCAAATAATGTCCTCAAATACATACTCTGTATGCATTTTTGATAGAACAACTATTTCTCTACATACAAGGAAATGTAAAAAAAAAAAAAAGCATAATTTCGTTTTGTTTTACATTTTAGTTCAGGAAGTGTGAATTATGTAGGTTCGTGCATACCAAACCATTTTCTTCCTCCTATCAGTCATGAAGGCAGTTGTGTTACCAACAACAAAAAAAATCAGTCCTCCCATCTACCTGAGCCCTTAGTAAAGTGTCACGCATTTTAACAGCACTTAAAATTTGTAACAGATTATGCCCAGTGTTTAATGTAATGAAAGAGGCTTTGAGGTTTTTTTAAAGATAGTTAACCAAGAGAAATGGCATTTGAAGGGCTCCCAAATCTCCCCCCTTTTCCTTCTAAACAAATCCCCAAATCAGAAAAAAAACTTTCCTGCATTTTGAAAGATGCTTGCATTTTTGTTTTTAACAAAACATAACAGAAGTAGCAATCTTGTACCAAATTATCTGGGAGCCCCATTCAATTCAATAGTTTTCACTTGTGACAAAGCATGTACTTAGCTTATCAGTGGGAAACTCTTTTGAAAGGCAACAGAAATCCTGAGAAAAGAGGGGGGAATGGAGACCAAAACAAAATTGTAAAAATAATAAATGTTGCAGAGCTATATGAGATTTTCATTGATATTTGGACATGTGAAAATAAACAAAATGAATATCTAGGTTACATTTTTCAGGATGAACATAGCAAGTGTTACAACCTGTGCTATACACACATGCTATTTATTAATAAGCAGCAGCACATATGGTTTTAAAGACTCCAATATTGCTGCTTTTTTGCATTAGATTGGGTTTATAGGACAAGGGCAGCATGAGGAAAACATAAATAGGTACATGCAGGGTGTATTGAGCCAGTTGAGTTCTTAGTTTTGCAATAGGTTCCTTTCTTCAGCAGATTCCCTCAGGACTAACTGATTATGGCAGTTAAAATGTGTTAAAATGCATACATCTTTGCAGCTATGAAGTGAGAAAGGGGTCATTTTAAATCAGAAAAACAGTTGGTGGAATAGGTATGCTGACTCTTAATGAAGTTATAAACAGACATAACAAAAGTATAACTTACACTTTTGAATGGGAGGGAACTGCTTAATGATTCCCACACTTGCCCTTTTGGCACTGTGTTGTTGCGTGTCTTCAAGTCACTTCCAGTGTATGACAACCCTAAGGCAAATCTATCATGAGGTTTTCTTGGCAAGATTTGTTCAGAGGGAGTTTGCCATTGCCTTCCTCTGGGCTGAGAGAGTTTGACTTACTCAGAGCCACTCAATGGGTTTCCATGGCCAAGCAGAGATTTGAATTTTGGTCTCTCGAGTCATAGTCTAATGCTCAAACCACTATGCCACACTAGCTCGAACCCTCTAGTCACCCTCTTAGTCTCATTTTTCCCTGCTGGGCAATTTGTAGTAATCATCACTTTCAGTAATGCAAGTGGAGGGAGTTGTGGAAACATAGGGCACAAAAGATTCAAGATTTATTCTCATTCAAGCCCACAAGTTATCTCACTACCTTCAATAAAAAGGGATACTAGCCCACATCTGCCCTGTAGCAATGTTACTTAGAAACTACAGAACAGAAATCTGAAGTCCAATATTTTTCAAGCACAGGCGCTGTTTCCACAATGGAAAATTAACCATTATGTAATTGTAAGAATGATTCCCAGTTGGTAAAGGGTTAAGACAAGGCTGCATACTATCACCCTATTTGTTTAACTTGAATGCAGAAAATATCATACAAAGAGCAGGTTCAGACTCAGAAGAAGGAGGAAGGAATCTAAGATATGTGATGACACTATAATCTTGGCAGAAAATATCATGGACTTGTAATAGTTACTAAGGAAAGTTAAAGAAGAAAGTGCAAAAGCAGGCATGCTGCTGAACATGAAAACAAAAATAATGACAACAGAGGATCTACATAAATTCAACCTAGATAATGAAGAAATCCAAATAGTTAAAGATTTCCCATACTTTGGATCAAATGTTGATCAGAACAAAGACTGCAGGCAAGAAATCAGAAGACTGGGAATGGAAAGGGCAGCTATAAAGGAACTAGATAAGATTCTAAACCAGGGGCTGGCAACCTACGCCCCCCGGGCTGGTTCCGGCCCAGGGCCCTGCGCTTACTGGCCCAGGCAGACCCCTGCTGCTGCCGCTGCCTGTTATCGCCACCACGTGGCCGCGCGTGCCGCAACTGCCATTTTGGAAAACCAAATGGCAGCTGCGACATGTGTGGAGGCGGCTGCGGCAGTGTGCACGCGGGGGTTGCGCACACGCCGGGCCCGCCGGAAGGGACAACTTCAGGGGATCGGCCCCCAGCTCAAAAAGGTTGCCTACCCCTGCCCTAAACTGTAAATGGAATTTTTTACCTGTTGTATTTTTAATCTGTTGTACGCCACCCTGATTGCCGAGCAGAGGGGCAGGTTATAAATAAAAATTATTATTATTATTATTATTATTATTATTATTATTATTATTAAAGATACATAATTAAGCACCAAAGTTTGATTGTCCAAGACATTGCATTCCCCATCCTCATATACAGATGTGAGAGCTGGGCAGTGAAGAAAATTGATAGGCAGAAAATCAACTCATTAGAGATGTAGTGCTGGAGAAGAGTGCTGAGGATACCATGAATGGCCAAAAAAACAAATGGGTCCTAGAATGGATTAAACCTGAACTGTCCCTGGAAGCCAAGATGATGAAACAGAGGCTGTCGTTCTTTGGCCGTATCATGAGACAGCATGATTCATTAGAAAAGACAGTAATGCTAGAAAAGGTAAAAAGAGAGGAAGACCAAATGCCAGATGGCTGGACTCAGTGAGGGAGGCCTTGGGCCTGGATTGGCAGGACCTGTGCAGAGCAGTAGAGGATAGGGGGTCTTGGAGATGTCTCAGACATGGGGTCGTCATGAGTTGGAGTTGACTCAAGGGCAGGTAACAACAAGAACAATAATTGTTCTATATAGTCACCTACATTTTCCTTTGAAGACTATTCTTCCAATCCTTCTTTTATTAATAGTGAGTAGATTGTAAAATTATAAGAACTTAAGACATATCTGAATAGAATCTTTGATTCAGAAACTGAGGAGAATTACAATATTTATCAAAACTCACTATACTAGTCCCTGATATAAGGGCAAAATGGTTCCATGACATATTTTTCATGGTATCTGTTAATAAAACACATTACGTTTTTCCACAATTTTAATATTAAACTCCTCATTATTAGTAAACGATCAGTGATCAATATATTTACAAATGTTGTTAAAATTAAGTATCAGGATTTCTCTTTAAATTATTTTTTCATCCCGCAAGTGAAAATAAGCAATCCACACCAAAACACTTGAAAAACATTTTATTTTAAATTCCCACCACCATCCTTCAACAGCTCACACAGTGCCTTGGTCATATGGCTTTTTAATGTATGATAACCATTGTGAGAAACATGCAAGCCTTCATATGTAAACAATTTTTATATGCTGCAAAACTAACTTGGTGCTTTCATTCTAACAGGTGTAAGATGATTATATTTAGTCTCCAGGTATGATACACAAGAAAATAAGAACAGTCTAATACCATCAGAGATGTTTCAATCCCACTTGGTATTTATAATAAAAAGAACTGCATTTGCTAGAGTTCGCTCAACATTCCCCACATCTTTCAGTTCTCCCTAACATAGGGGTAGTCAAACTGATGTCCTACAGATACTTTGTACTGCCGTGTCCATAAGCTCTAGCCAGCATTTCTAACTCTGTAAGCTAGAACATCTGTAGGCTCCAAATTGCCTTGCCCTAATGAACTTTGCAATTGAATAATACATGACTTTACATAAATTAACATTTCATTAAGATGACAATTTTTATCTCCTTTTGATGGAGAATATAAATGTTCTTGGATTTCTTGTGCATCGTCAGGGATGGTGGTGGTATATTTAGAGAGAGATGGACTGAAACAATATAATAGGCATCAAGTTGATTACCAGTATAACATCAATCCTCAGTGTATTTACTTGGAAATGAGTATCATTAATTTCAGCAGAGCTTACTTCCAATCAAGGGTTCCCAGCAGCATAATATTGTTTTAAAAGGAGTATTGGCTCCACTGGTAACTATAGAATGTGGAGTGACATCATTATAACAAACGTTCTTTTCAAACTTTACTTCTAACCTGTGATCTCACGGAAGTATTTTACAATATGTTACTTTAAAAGAAAAATATATATTATGCAATATATTTCCAAAAACAACAGTTTAGTTCAGAAGGTACCAAAGCAGGTGATGAGGTGCGATGATTCAGTGACTTAGGCTACAATTTTGGGAGGTGGGTTACTGAGTGGGAAACCGCCACCAGTGTAACGTGAAACTCTTGTCCTCTGTCCTGAGAAGTCATGTTCCATGTTATTCAAGGCTCTTTCCTTCTCCCTTAGGGGTGGGGAAAAACAAGAAAGAAGAAAAATAATGTGGTGCATTGTAATACTCTCTTCCTTGGTATCATTTTCAAAAGTTTCTAAAGTTTTCTCAGTTGCAACTGTTATATCAGGAGATCATTAAAAATATGTTGATGAAAGCCTGTTAAGTTAAACAACCACAATTAGATGTCTGTTTGGAACTAATTAAGTGACTGCTGATGGTATGCAGAATTATTAAAAATTAGAAGTAAATGAGCTCTCCTAATGTTTCCCCCTTAAAATGGTCAGAGTTTCTCATTAGAAGAAGAATAAGTGTAAGGTTTGTCACTTGGAATTTCTAATCTTAGTAGTGTTCTTCCAAATAATAATTTGTTTTCAAATGAAAGGCTAAAATCAAAGGCAGAAAGAGGATATCTTTTTTCTTTGTTGAATTTTAATGAATAAATCATGTTAACCATTTTCACATTTAATAGACTTATAATGATAATTATCTGGTGTGTTCTTTTTCAGCAAAACCAATACTGCTTACATAGCTTTGAACCACAATCACCTCTAGACTTTGCACCACAGAATGAACAGTCCCCACTTGCATATAGCAGCTTTAAGAAAAAGAACACAGTTTAATTAATTCACTCAGCTATTTAATGAGGGAGGGGAGAGGCCCCCACCAGAGCAGCAAGAGGATGCTTTTTCCTGATCTAAAATGGACAACTACATAAATGCAGAAAAATATTTAAATAAATTCATTAGGCCATTGTAAAGTCATAGTACTGTGGGGTTGTTTTCATGCAATGTAATAAACCATGGCTAGCACAGGTTTGCTCTACTAATCTGATGCTCTATTACTGTAAGCCTCAGGCTTACACTCTCTTTCATAGCCAGACATGGCTATGAGAAATTCTGTTTCAGGAGCCAGGTGGTTCATCTCAACACAACAAAGTATGCTTAATCTCAATAATGGTTTATTTGGGGGAGGGGGAGGGGGAAATCCTACTGGTGTTAAATATGGCTTATGAAGTTCATTTGTTCCAACAAACTACCAGTTAAAAGTTCCAAAGAAATGTTAAACAGCATTAATTAAAAAAAAAACAGCAGTGAAAACTTCTGATCTCATGGCCATTCAGAAAAGAGGGGACATACAACATCCCCACCCTGAGCTCATGCAAGCATAGCCAAGTACATAATTTTTTTTATATATAAACACATTTCTTAAAACCTCATTTATTTTGTTCCAAATCTAGCAGCAAGAATTCCTGAAACCAACTATGTCTTCTTGGAAGTGGTGGTATCTAGTGTTCTTAAAAACAACACTCCTGCTGTCAGCAGGACTAACTTGAAAACTAGAGCTTTGGGGAGAGTATATTGTTACAGTTTTATTGTAACAGGAAATCACATAACTGAACACTGATGTCTCCTTCTAAACTAAGAGGACTGTTCCATTGGGGTTTTTTGGAGGAGGGGAGTAGGTTTCCCCAATCTGTACCACTCAGTAATGGGTGTAGACTGGATGCAGGTTGAGTTTGATATCGGCACTTTCATTAAACGAAGCATGTTCAGTAGAACAGAAAAATAAATTTAACAGAATGTGTACACTTGAAAAGACTATGTAGAAAAATAAACACTTTTTTTAAAAAAAAATGCTTACCGTACAAACACATTTTAGTTGATAGATAGATGGAAACAGTACAGTAGATGGAGATAGTACAATTTGAACAGAAATGCACACTAAAATGTGAATCTTTAAAAATACAGCCAAGGACAGATTTTTTTCCAGTTAAATATACATCAATGTGGAATCAACGTGGGGTGGAACTGGAGCAGTAAAACAAGAAAATCCATAGGAACAGATCTTCCCATTCCTATTCTTAAAAATGGCCAGTGCCATCAATATATGCACCTAAGTAGTCAAGATGTACAAGAGGCCTTTATGGTCAATCCCTCTGTAGA